TATTTCAAAATGATTTAAAAATATAAAAAAATAATTTTTAATAAAAAAATTTTAAAAAATATGATTTCAATCATTCAGGTTTAGAACATCAGACTCAGATTATATATATCTAAATTGAATAAACTCAGATGATATACATCTAAATTAAGTAAACAAGAGAAAATATTGTATAACTTAAAAAATCTTGTGATTCGATATTCAATCCGGTCAAAACCAGTCACATTAAATTTTAAAAAAAAAAATACTTTTGGATACACCAGATTTTGGGCTTCGTGTTGAAGAGAAGAATTTTTTTCAAAATTTTTTATCATCAACTTTTTCAGAGGTACAAAACACAGCCATTGTTATAAAAAAAAAACATTAAAATGCTAGAAAAAACATTCAAAACAAACCCTAAAGTCACAGATTCAAAAGCAGCAAAGCATCCAAGTATCATGTAATAAGATTGAGAATTGGTGGAAGAAGAGTGAGAATAAAAAGAACAGTGTCCCGGACAGGGAAAAGGATTGTGAAAGTTAAGTAGAAGAAGAGCTGCTGCAAAAATAAATCCCTAGCCCTGCCATTGAAGTAAATACTCTTTATATATAAATAGATATAAGTGGGCATTAATATGAATGGACTGAAGTTTTGCTTTGAATTTACTGGCCCTATAAAAAGCCTATAATAGATATGAGTGGACTATAAGTTATAAGAAGATTGTGTTTATATTTGAGCGTGTGTTTTGTCATTAAATTTCTTAAACTTATAAAAAGTTTTTTTTGTAAATTGACTCTTCTGATTCGAGATTGATTCGAGATTCTAAGTTGGTCTAAATAAATATTAAAATTATGTTTTAAAACTATGGTTATAGTTTGATTGCAATAATTTTTTAATAGGAAGTGATAAAATTTAAATTTAAATTAGAATTAAAAAGTGAATGGGTGAATATTAAAAAGAATAAGGAAAATTTTGATGAGAATAGGAAGAAAATAATATATTAAGTCTAAAGTTAAAAGATGTGTGAATTGTTTTTTTTCCACTCTTATTAGTATTATGGATTACTTATTAGATTTGTGAATTACAATAATAATCTATAATGTTAGTTTTTTAAAAAAATTTATAGGCCTGTTGATGATTATGATGATTTTTTTGATATGAGTGGACTATAAGTTATAAGAAGATTGTGTTTATATTTGAGCGTGTGTTTTGTTTCTTAAACTTATAAAAAGTTTTTTTTTTAAATTGACTATTCTGATTCGAGATTCTAAGTTGGTCTAAATAAATATTAAAATTATGTTTTAAAACTATGGTTATAGTTTGATTGCAATAATTTGCAATAATTTTTTAATAGGAAGTGATAAAATTTAAATTTAAATTAGAATTAAAAAGTGAATGGGTGAATATTAAAAAGAATAAGGAAAATTTTGATGAGAATAGGAAGAAAATAATATATTAAGTCTAAAGTTAAAAGATGTGTGAATTGTTTTTTTTCCACTCTTATTAGTATTATGGATTACTTTGTGAATTACAATAATAATCTATAATGTTAGTTTTTTAAGAAAGTTTATAGGCCTGTTGATGATTATGATGATTTTTTTAATTTTTTAATTTTATTTTTTAATACTAAATTGATTAAAAATTAAGTTTTATAATTAGTTTTGTTTTATTGCCTATAAGATTATCATAGTCTTAAAACAAAGTCACAGTCTTGGTTTGATGTTTTATTTTGTGATCGTCTATTTTTGTTATCATATAGTTAAAATAAACAATAATTTAAAAAAAAAAACAAGTTATTAATTTCAATGAAGTCTATTGTATAATTTGTGAGTTTGACGTGTTGACTAGGGATACCCAATTCACAGGTTAAATAGGTTTACTCATTAACTATGATATTTTTTCACATTTTTTGATCCTTCAATTTTTCTAATTGTTTTTTTTATCTTACTCTTCTTCAATAGTAGATTGGTTAATAAATAGAATTCATGATTTATTTATTTTTATTTTTTATAGGGTTATCATAATTTTAAATAAATATTTTTTTTAGAGTTGATGTTCTATTTTGAAAGCATCTAATGTTATCATAAAATTAAATAAAAATAATTTTTATTAAAATAAAATTATTAAACTCATTAAAATTTATGACCTAGGTTGGAGCACCGAAGTGGATCCAATCTGACATAATTATTAAACTCATTAAAATTTATGACCTAGGTTGGAGCACCGAAGTGGATCCAATCTGACCTTTTTTTAATATATATAAAAAAACTTGTTTCTTAAAGTTTTTCTAAGTTATATTAAGTTTACCTATCAAATCTGATATTTTTTCTATATTTTTTGGTCCTTTAATTTTTTTTAATTTTTTTTATCTTAATCTTCTTCAATAGTGGATTGTTTGATAAATAGAATTCAAGATTTATTTATTTTTATTTTTTATAGGGTTATCATAATTTTAAATAATTTTTTTTAAAGTTGATGTTTGATTTTGAAAGCATCTAATGTTATCATAAAATTAAATACAAATATTTTTTTTTAAATAAAGTTATTAAACTCATTAAAATCTATGACCTAGGTTATAGGGAACATAAGTTGATCTAATCTGACATTGTCTTAATATATATAAAAAACTTGTTTTTTTAAATTTTTTTAAGTTATGTCATGTTTTTATCGATTATTTAAGTTGTCTTTAAATCCATTAAATTAAATAATTCACTTTGAAACAGCTCTCACATGGTTTAATTCGAAACTCGAGTTATGCAAAACGTTGAGTTGACAGGTTTTAAAATTAAATTGCTTGGTTGAATTTAATGATATTTTTAAAAAATATTTCATACTTATAATAATTTTTTTCAAATTTAGAAAAAAAAAGTATAACTTGTAGCGGAGCATGGGTGAATATAATAGTATGTATAGGCCCCGTTTGTTTGTTGGAAAATGATTTTTTTTAAAGTGAATTATAAAAAAGTGAATTTTAGAAAAATAAATTATTTTTCTATATTTGATAGTGTAATGAAAAATAAATTGGAAAACACTTTTCAATTTCTAGTGTCATGAAAAATAAGCTGGAAAATAATTAACCAAATTTAATATAATTAACAAATAATATGATATTTTAAAAGTTTTAAAATTTTTAGAAAGTATTTTTCATTCAAAATAAAAAAAAATGCTTTTTTAAAAACTAAGATAAATTCTTTTATTAATTTTTTTAATAATAAATAAATATAAAAAAATTTAAAAAATTATTTTTAAAATTATTTTTCGACAAATAAACACAGTCAAAGTAAAAGAAGTATTTTTAATTTTAATTCTTATTTTAAAACGTCGTCGTAGCATAAACGGAAACGCGCCAGGTTGTTTTAACGATCACGGAACTCCATTCCGAGACTGCCGTGACGCTACCTTTTCCCCCCAAATAGAGCCAAATAGTGAGACTGTAACTAAAACCCTAGGAGATCAAGACCACCAAATCGAAATTGATCATCTTGCAATTCAGTCTGTAGAAGAAGAGATATGGATAGCGAGAACACCGAAATCTATCACGAGAAGCAGAAATTGCAATTTTGCCTCTTACATGCCCTCAACAATCTCTTCCAGGTACTCAAAAATACAAATCACCCACCCCTGTTCTCTCTCAGCAATTACTATAAGATTGCCAAACATGATGCAAAAAAATTTGTCCTTAGTTTAGAAGATTCAATTTTGCTGTTTTTTTTTTTAATATAAAACAGCAATATTCCGACAATTTATTGCTTAGAATTTAAAATAAAATAAAAAATTATAACGTTTTTCTGTTCATCCATTTACTCTGGAAGTAGTGCTATTTGGTTAGTGATAAAGCCTTACAAATTGATGATATCGAGATTTCTTTTTTTCTTTTCTTTAATTTTTCAGCAACAGGAGGCATTTACTCGAGCGAGATTGAATGAAATTTCTGGGAAACTTGTTCTTGATGATCCCAGCAAAAAGACTTGGACACCATTGTCTATAGTCTTCAAGCCTCACCATAATGCTTTTACTGGAAATTACGACATTAATGTTTTAATTGCCGCTCTTGAAGAGAAAGACAAGACTGTTGTCTGGCATGACCGGAGGAATGCAGCTTCCACTATTGATCTTGATGGGGCTGATGATAGTTTGTTTGGTATTGTCCTCAATGTTCCAGCTAGACGGTATGCATTGCTTTGGAAGGGTAGGCATTGGATTACCATGAGAAAGATTGGTGGGGTTTGGTATAACTTGGATAGTGATCTTCCTAAGCCTATGCCCTTTGAAGGTACTCGAGAGGTTAGGGGATATTTGGATTATGTTCTAAGTAATGGTGGAGAGGTTTTGCTTGTCATGAGCAAGAAAGAGTGAATCTTTCTTTTATTTTAAGTTTTGGGTTGGGGTAGAAGTAGAAACTTCGAATGTCTATAATATGTCTATAATTGTATACCAGTTCTCTTGTAATCACACAGAGTAATTGTATGTTGATTTATGTGTGTTTATTTCATATTGCCTCTTGTTATTTCTTCGGGAATCTATGGGAGTTGCTAAGCAGTTTATGTGGTATCAATTTTTCTTAAGACATGAGTTGCTGATGAACCATACGATGTTGAATAGGGTGGATAATGTTACACTTGCATCCTGTGTATTTGGTTTATTTGATGTTTTCTTTGCATGTGTTAGCTTAAATGCCAGCAATTAGAGGTATGCATTCCATGGTCTGGAGTTGAAATGTTAGTCTTTTCAGAACTGAATTCTGTTTGGCAGCTTGGTGCGAAGATCATTTTTCTGATTTTAGCAGTCTCTGTGCTTTGGTTTCAAATGATTTGGGGTTGAATCAAATAACATATTTTGGAAGCTCTCACTGTTGCAGATCTGACTCTGCTGCTTGCGAAACTTTTCTGGTTAGTTCTGTGGTGTCTTTAACCCCATGTAATTTATGCCTGAAATACAATCAATTCAAACTGTTGTTAGTCATGCCATTTGTACTCCATGTTTTTTTATATGTTTTTGTGTAGAAGCTTTTTTTTACAATCATATCAGTTGATTTTCATTTAGTTTGCTTAGATGGAATTGCAGTTGAAATATGCTTTAGAGTGTTTATGTTTCTACAAAAAATCTAATTTCTCTTCTCTGTGGTGCTAAACATGTTTGTGCTCATGGTCTCAATCTAGGAAATTGTCAGGACATTTTTCTTTGAATAAAATAACCAGTTGCATAAGCAAGATCTAATCAAAGTAGTGGCTGGAGAATAGGTAGTTAATCTAACTTCACAGTTAATGTTTCTCTATTTGGATAAGAAAAAAGTACATGTATGGATGCCACTGCAAAATTTCATGCATTGATCTTAATGCGTTATTTGTCATGTTAACTCTTTCTTCTAGTATGTATTCTTACCCTTTTTTTGTCTCAACCTACATGAAGGGTTCTCTTTCTTGATGGTTCGAGTTTGGAAGTTTAGGCGTTTTGTATCCTGAATTTATCCAGGTTCATATCATTTTAGCAGATTGTCATAGCCTTTTTTTATTGGTCACAAAATGAAGAACGACATTGTTACAACTAAGAAATAGCGTGCAACTGAGATGGTTATCCTTAGACAGTTAATGGTGGGCAGGTGCAAGGCACGTGAGGAAATTGTTAGGAATCAGTTGGAGTTAGTAAGTAGTTAGAATAAGCCTATAATGCATGTTGAAGGGTTTTGAAAAGTAATAACAGAATAATTTGTCCCTTAAATCTTTGTTCTTCTCTCTGTTTCTTCCTATTTCTTCATTTCTTGTTAAGCTAAGCTTAACAATCGGTATCAGAGTTACAGCGAACGGTAATAAACTCAAAGCCATCACCTAAAATGGCAAGAATCTATGGCTGAAAGTAAAGAACGTTGGCTGGAGCAAGGCACCAAGATTGATAAGCTGGTTCTACATATGGAATCAATATCCTCACAGTTCCAACACTTCATTGCTTCCCAACCAGCGAGAAAGGAAATTGGAACCAGTTCACGAGGTATTTTAACTGCTTCAGAATATGATAAGGACACAGGAATGCCTGCCTTAGCTGAAAGAATAGCATCGAGACATAAGAATCAGTTCAGAAGTGATCAAATGATAAGGCAAGAACCTCTTAAGATTGGATACAGCATACCATTGCCAAGGGTAGAGTTGCCAACATTCAAGGGAGAGAATCCTCGAAGGTGGTTACAAAAATGTAGGAAATATTTTAAGATCAACTTGCTACCTGCACACCAACAGGTAAAAGTGGTCTCATATTTCTTGGAGAGTAAGATTGATGTGTGGTTCGAAGGACTAGTACAAGAGAATGATTTATGGATTGACTGGGAGGAATCTTCCATACTCTTTGTGGATGGTTTGGCAATAAAGAAGACATCGTAAAAGAATTCAGCAAACTGATCCAAGATAGAAGCAAACTGATCCAAGATAGAAGTGTGAATGACTATATCAAACAATTTGAAGAACTAAGATCATTGATGAGTGTTCGTAATCCATTCTTGGCAGAATCCTATTATGTCTCTAGCTTTATTAGTGGGTTGAAGGATGATATTAAATTGATATTAAAGATCTTGAAACCTTTAAAGGTGTTAATTGCATTTTAACAAGCCAGATGGCAGGAGAAGTCTTAATAATGCATTAATTAAGAGGACCAGATCAATACAACCTAGTAACACTATATTCAATGGTGGAAGAGTAATAAGTCGTGTTCCATCCACAGTTTTTGGTCCAAATTGGATTGAAGGAGTGAAGCCTCATTTGGATAGCTTAAACAGAGAAAAAAACTAGGGCAGTGCTTTTTAAGTGTGGTGACAAATACATACTTGGGAATAAATGCAGTGCTAAGGGCTTACATATGATAGAAAGGATAAAGGAAGAGGAGGACGAAAGAAACAAGGAACTAGAAGGCACAGTCTAGGATGAACACAAGGAGACGAATCAGATAGATGGATTTAGGCTGTCACTAAATGCCTTAACAGAAAAATGATACCTACAATACTATTAAGATTAATGAAAATTGTCAAGGAAAGGACCTTGTAATTTTAATAGATACTGAAAGCACCCGTAACTTCAACTTCATAGATGGAAGCACAATTACAGAGTTAAATGCTAGTACAAGTAAAACCACTCATGCTATATGATATGTATAGTCTTGGATTTACTTAGTTTATGCAGAGCTATGAATTTAAGGCCAACTTGAAAATGTTGAAATTAGACAGATATAATATAATGTTGTAATTGAATTGGTTGAAAAAGTATTCTCTAATGCTCTTAACTTCATGAAGTTGTGATTATTGTTTGAAAAAAATAACGACAATTAAATAGTAGAGAAACTTAGTGTAGTGGTGTTGTAATTCCAACTATTATTCAATTTTAAGCATGAGTCCCTTTGAAGTTCTCTATGGTTATACCCATCCATAGAGGGAGTGGTTAGTGCAAAAGCGTACTCCAATAGCTATGGTGGAGGAGGTGTTATAGAGAAGGGCAAACATGGATCACACACTGAAGAAGCAGTTGGAAATGGCAAAGCACAAAATGAAGCAACTAACTGACAAGAATCGATCTAAGAGGGAATTTTCAGAGGGTGACTGGGTTTTTCTAAAGCTGCAACCATGTAGTCAAAACATTATTGCATTAAGGAAGAACCTTAAGCTCAATCCTAGGTATTACGACCTTTATCAAATCAACAAGAGGATTGAAATTGTGGCCTATAAGTTGAAGCTACTAGAAGGAAGCTTGATACATCCAATGTTCCATGTATCTTTACTTTAAAGAAAAAAAAAAGATTGGAGATGCAACAATCATGTCTTCTAGGTTGCCAATATCAAAAAAGAAGGGGCAGATACAGATCATGCCTATAGCTATATTGGATAGGAAACTGATGAAGAAGGGTAATAAAACAGCAACCACAATATTAGTTTAGTGGTCCAATCTCTATTTAAAAGACAACTTAAAAAGATCTCTAAAAACAGTTCCTAAAATGTCGTACACTACTCATGACAGATATAACTGAGCATTCTTGTGGATAAGAATGCATTCAAGGGAGGAGTATTATTACAATTAAGAAATAGTATGTAATTGAGATAGTTATCCTTATCCTTGGGGGGTTAATGGTGGGTAAACACAAGGCACGTGGGGAAGTCGTTAGGAATCGATTGGAGTTAGTTAGTAGTTAAAATAAGCCTGTAATGCATGTTGAAAGGTATATAAGGATAAAGAGTTTATATATGGGTAATGAAAAGTAATAACAAAATCATTTTTCCTTTGTGATCTCATGTTCGAATCTTTAGTTGTTCATATGATAACCACTAGAGGCTTACATGGGCGTTAACTTACAAGCTCGTGGGGTTAGTCGTGGTATGCGCAAGCTGATCCGGACATTCATGTTGATCTAAAAAATAAAATCATTTCTCCCTTAAATTCTTGTTCTTCTCTCTGTTTCTTTTTGTTTCTTTATTCCTTGTTAAGCTAAGCTTAACAATCATCCAGGATATAAAAAAAATATTGTATTAAAAAAGTGTCTCAAGTCAAAAGTTTTTAAATTATACATTCAAGATGATCCCACCAAGCAAAATTTACTAAAAGACTACTTTATCTAGAACAACCCTTGAAGAATAAAAAATTAAACCATATAATACAAAAACAAAAAAGACAACAATAAAAAAAAAAAGTTTGACATATTAGGGTTAGCACATCAAAAACCTTAATTTGAATTTTTATTTTTGAAAAGTTGATATGTTCAGTTTCTCTAGAATGTTTATAATTTTTTCAACAGATCAAAAAACTAATTTTAATAAGAAAAGAAAATCAAAATTTTTAAATAAAAAAAATTAATAACAAAAGAGACTTAAATAATGTATTTAATATTGTTTCATTTAAGGGTTTCTAGAAGGGGATGGTGAGAAATTTGAGCTAAATTCAAATGTTGGATTGAAAGTTTTGATTTTTATTGTCAAACAAAATTAGGTGATCATATTTTTTTTAATTTAACTCTATTTTATTGATTTATGAATATATTTGATAATTTATTTGCATGATTTATTGATAATAAATGTATATAAGTATGACAGTAACTTATAACAATTTTTTTCTAACTGCTCGTATATTTATTTTTTATTTTTATTTTTGATCCAATTATATTAGTAACTTAGATTTAATAGCATAGAAATTTAAGCTACATTTAAATGTTGGATTAAAAATTATTATTTTTATTATTAAACTAAATTAGGTAATCAGAATTAAAATTTTTTTTTTTATTATTATTAAACTAAATTAGGTAATCAGATTTTTTTTTTGAATTTAACTTTATCAACCGATTATATTAGTAACTTAGATCTAATAGCATAGAATTTTAAGCTAAATTTAAATGTTGGATTGAAAATTATTATTTTTATTGTTAAACTAAATTAGGTGATCAGATTTTTTTTTTTGAATTTAACTTTATCTCATTGATTTACAAATATATTTGATAAGTTATTTGCATGATATATATAAGCATGGCAGTAACTTATGATAGTCTTCCTCTAACTTTTTACCTTAATCTTTATTTTTATTTTCGGCCTGGTTACATCAGTAACTGAGACCTTATAGTACAGACACTCTGACCGAGAGTAAGCCCTCCCAGAAAAAGCTAGGAAAATTGATGATATTCTGGCATAGCAGTGTTGTCTTTCAACTCTTCTTTAAAGACAATGGCTCAGATGGCCCTACTCCGTGAATATTATTTAGTTCGTCACACTTTTCTTGATGGTACTTTCTATATTCACGCCTAAACTTTGGATATCATTGTCTATATTTCATTTAACAAGATTTCATTGCCCCCATTACTTACCTATCTTATATTTGTAATGTTGCAGAAGAGTATCTTGCTTTTTCTGTCGCTAGATTCACATGCCTTCCATGAAGAGATTCAAATCTACATTATTGCTTACTCATTTAGAATGTGTGTCCATATTTTCTTCCTGTGCAGAAATGAACAGAGAGAAACTGACATACCTACCTACTATTATTTAGAGGACAGGTGCTGGCGTCCTTAATGATTTTAAAGCAATCACCTTGCGGTGTACTGTTTCATTTCAGTGTCTTTCTGCTTGCATTTCACAGCAGTAGTCCTCACGACTGTGCAGCCAGGACTGGTGCCTTGGAACGGAACTTGCAAGAATGAGTCAAGAGTCCCGATTATTTGAATGCTTTGCCAGGTTCCTTTCACATTCAATTTCTTGTGATTGAAGTAAGAATGCACAAGCAATCATGCCTTCCTTTCTCAACCATATCTTTTCCTACCCTTGAAAGGCTCGGACCTTTCACCTTTTTCATACTGTTCTAGAGTTCTTTTCTTTTCTTTTTGTCATTCCTTCACTCTTTTATCTTCCTTTTCTACATTTAATAACTGTCTACTATTTCCAATCCAGAGAGCACATTAAGCTTTCACAAAGTTTTTGATGCATCTTCCAACCATCCTCCCTGTCCCATGAAGAGACTAGCTGTGAACATGTCAGCAAGGATTAATCAAGTGAAATACAAACCTACTGGTATCAACCAGAACGCAATATCCATCAGGCGAAACTCTGGTAACAGAGTTTCTGGGAATAGACGGCTTGGTCGAAGTTGTGGATTCAGGCTCCTGAAGAGATCAATAATGTCACCAGCGGTATTTCTCAAGCATCTCGGTGGGAAGGTAGCCAAAGCTCTGCGTTTGGAGAGGCGGCCTTCACCTGGAGTTTCTTCTTCAGGAAGATCAAGACCATCTGTAGCACCCATTGATGCTCACAGAGCTGAAGCCATAGAAGATTGCATTGAGTTCATCAACTCTGCTTCTTTGTCTAGGTCAAATTCCGTTACTGCAAATCCTTGTTAAATTATTGTTACAGTCAACTACATGACCATTAAACTTTTGTTGTACGCCCTTTACGAAAATGAGAAGAGAGAATAAACAATGTAAACTCCATTTAACTATGCTATGAAGGAAATCCTGCAAGAGTCTCAGTTCACAAATGCTACTAATATCAATCCTGACTGGCTGCATAATTTACGCTCTCCATTTAACCAGGCATCAACGGAGAAACCAATTTTATCGATCCATTGGACAAGCAGATTGTTACCATAAGGTCAGGTAATCAGTATTACGGTAGAGAGGCAAAGAAATTTGACATGGTTCGAGTATTCATGCATTTCCCTGGAAGTACAGTTGATCATGTGCGAGTGGTTGATCAAAATATGCAGCTCGTTGCTGTAATTACTGTCCTACTTTTTTTTATTTGTCATCCTAAGGCGATGTAGCTGAACCAATAGACAGTTTGTATAACCAGAAAAGGAAGGTTCTCTGTTGAAAGAGCAGTTGGTGATTGGAATGCTGGGTTTGATTGAGCTAATGCCAACCAGCGGAAACACTCTTTCAACCGCCGACTTGCATTAGTGTTCATCTGTATATTGCATATGGAAGAGAGGAATTATAGGCTGTCCTGTAGATCATCTCTGTTTTTCTAGTTTGGTCCAAGCTATTACCATTACTGCAGAAGTTAGAGCAAGATTATCAAGTGGCAGGCATGAATTAACTCAGCCAAATCTGCAGATACTGAGCTTTCAAGAAAGTGGATTGTTCAACTAGCTTTGTTGATCCAAATTACCTTTCTTTTTATTTGGTCAGTCATTTCTAGAGTCTGTTTTTAGCAGCTAGAGAATTGGCCTTTAGCAAAAGTGTGGTGCTTGATCGGAATGAATCATTTCATCCTTCAAGAAAGAAAAGGTTCTCATATGGATGTGCACAAAACTGTGTTCGTGGACTGGGGCAATGAGCGGAATGTGATGGGAATAGCCTTCGGGCTTCTCTGCTACCACAGCATATCCGGGGATGATGCGCAAAAAGGACTGCGCATTTAACTTCAACATTGACAAAAAGATTACCTATAATCTAAAAACGCGTGGGGCTTTTACTGTTAGAATTGTTAAGGTTCATGTACACACAAGTCATGGTGGATGACATTATTTGCTTTCTTATTTATTTTCTGACAATTTATTTTAGACATCAGAGTTTTATTTTAGTTGATTTAATTTTAATTTTAATGCCAATTGCTTTTAATTTTTTAGTTAATGATGGAATTTAAGACTGAAATGAAAAAAGCTTTCAATATCAATGATGTATCAAAAGTTTTCATAAAAATATATTTTAATTTTTTAACTTTAAAAATAACATAAATTATATGAGGTTGATGCCCCAATTTCTTTTAAATTTAATTTTTATTCAAAAATTTATTTTTATTATTTTTTAGTTATTGTTTGAGAAAAAAAAAAGATAAATCATCAGATTCTGAGAAAAAAAAAAACATGTGTTAACACATATCTAGATCAGTAAAATAATTGACATTTTTTGTTAAATAGTTCTATTTAATTAGGGGGAGTTCATATTAAGTTTTTTATCTTTAAATTTATGTAAAAATACTTCTAAACTTGGTTTGGTGTTTGGTTTTCTATATGGTTTTTTGAGTTAGCGAATATGTTTATAATGGCTCCTAAAGTATTTTAAATAAAAAATGAATTGAAAAATAAATTTTTAAATAAAAAAATTTAAGTTTAATTTTTAAGCATTTGTAATGTGAACAAATTAGATGACATGCTATCTTAAGTCTAATTTTTAAGCATCTGGAATGTGAACAAATTAGATGACATGCTATCTAATTTTTTGTTTAAAAAAATCTATCCAATTACAATAAAAAAAGCCTACACGTGGACCTTATTGAAATGAGTTAGACAGGTTTGGCTACCTTACTAAATTAAATAGTGTTTGATGGCCTACCTTACTAAATTAAATAGTGTTTGATTTTTTTTTAATTATTTTTTTAGATTAATATTTTTTTATATATAGTTTTCCTCTAATTTTTTAATATTTATATTAATACCCCTTTTGTCTCTTATTTTGTTTAGAGAACCTTTTTTAAATGAAGATTATTTTTTTAGTTATGGATTTAAATTTTGAAGAGTTTTTTTTATTCATCTATAATTTTTTTATCTTTTTTATATATAAATTTTATTTTTTTAATAAAAAAATTATTTTTACAGATAATATTTCTAATAAGTTCAAACTTACATAATGTTTTTTTATATTTTATTTTATTTAATAAATTTAATTTATGTTTCTATTTTTATTATTATTTGCTTGAATAAAAAAATATTTTAATAAAAAAATCTAGTAAATATAATTAGATATGCTTGCTAGATTAAATATTATGATATACTTTTATCTTTTAAATTTTACTGTTAGGAACCCCTCTTGTTCTATGAATATCCAAAACCTTACCAGCAATGAGCAAACTTTAAAATGGAAAACCACATGGTACTCACCACCTCTTTTGTCTAGTCTAATCAACATCTTTATCCCTACCAACATTAGGGGAAAACAAACCTCAAAAAAAAAAAAAAAAAAAAAGCTGCAGCAAGAACCAGTCCATGCTGATCAGCAACAGATAAATGAAAAGGATTTGGAAAAGCTTGATTCAGTATTCTGCCGATCTCTGTCTAATTAAAGCTGTCAATCTAGAATCTAGAGCGCAACCAAAAATGCCCCATGTCTCCTCTGGCATGGCAGCAGAAACTCCCACGGTGACCAGTTTTGAAGATTATCTCGAGCAAAATACGATAGATTTGCAGTCTCCCCTGAAATTAATGTAATGGCAATCGCTGTGCCTAACTGCAATGAAAGTGATGATGCAGTTGTTTGTGGTCACTTTGCTTTTATTATTCAGATTGATAAGCAGATTCTTTTTATTTTTCTGTTTCAAAAAATGTTTTTAAAAAATTTTATTTTATTTTTATTTTTTATTTTAATTTTAAATTTTTTAGTATTTTTATATATTAATATAAAAAAATAATTTTTAAAAAATAAAAAATATTATTTTAAATAAATGTTTTTTAAAATTACACTTTCAAATAGATATATGATCTATCTGGGTAAGACGCAAGTGACGTGTGGTGCTAGCTTCTTCAACGCTGGATCGGTGGAAAAAAAAAGGTGTACACGTGCTGCTATGCTAGGGGCACCGTTGTTCTGCGATTGTGGGGGTAGAGAGTTCGGGGATGGATATATTTTGGTCGTGGGTTCGAGCATACCCTTCACTGCAGTGCCCACCCCTCTGCTTATGCCTCTCCAAACCGTCAACAATTCCTTACCAAACATTGCACGTATTGATGAGTTTCTTGAATATTATACAATTAGTATAAAACATTAAATAAAATTATTTGTAAGTTTTAATGATCTTGTTACATGAATTTAGAATTATTTAAAAATTTAGTACTTAAATTTTTTTTTTTCAATTTTTAATAATTATTTAAATATTAGATTGTTATAAATCATAAATTGTCTAAATATCCATTTTTAACAGTAATTTACATGAAGTACTAGTAAGAAATCTCATAAATTTATTTTTAGAAGAGAAAGGTTCCTATGTCTAAAATTCTAGTTTTAATGTTATATTTACATAGTTTTCTTATTTAACAAATAACTTATAAAAAATACGATGCATAACTTAGTATTTATAAGGAAATATTCTAAAAAATCTTATAAATTGATAAAATATCAATTTTTTTCCTTGAATAATATCTATATATTAATTTATGATAATTTTAAAAAGTAATTTAATCAAGTCCTTACTTGATTTTTCTAGGTTATCGCAAATCATAAGTCGTCCGATTATCTGATCTCTAACAATAATTCACATGAATCACCAATAAAACATCACTTAAATCTCTATTTAAGAGAGACAGATTGCTATATCTAAAGTGCTAGCTTTGATTTTGTGTTTACGTAGTTTTGTTGCTAACAGACAACCTATAAAAAATAAAAAGTATAACTTATTATTTATAGAAAAACCTGAAAATTTTTATAAATTAGCAAAATATCAATTTTCATCCTAAATAATATCTACATATTAATTTAGAATAATTTTAGAAATAACTCAATTAAATACTTACTTGATTTTTCTAGGTTTAGAAATATAATCATGTATTGATTATATTTTATTTCTTAATTTCTAAAATATATTTTAATCAAGTCATATTTAATTATATTACCCTAGTTTAATTTTAACTAATGATTTTTAATATACGGTGCTCTATTAGGTTCTTAATAAGCTACTTTAAACATAAATTATATTATAATTAAATAATTTAATTTATTATCAATCAAACAATTGATTAATTTATAGTTAAAGATCAGATGTATCATCTAGTAATATGTCATAATCTCTCAAATATTAAAAAAACTATTAGTATTTTAAGTTAACCTTTAGGTAACCAATTTCTTAGTATAATTAATAACTTTTTATCAATAATGTTTTGATTTAACATTGAAGTATTGGGTATATTTGTTATGTTTGTTCTCTACCTGATAATCATTAACAGTTTAAATAAAATTTGAAACTCTTTTAAAATCTCATTTCACTCTTGTCAATAATTTCTCATTTAATATTATTTAAGAATATATAAGATATATTTTTTAATTCATCTAAGGTAATGAATTTTTTCTTAATCACTGAAGTACCTTTATATAGCTCATAATATACTCAATATCTATCTTTTTTTTTTATCTCCATTAAAATAACATGTAAGAAAATTAAAACATAATATTTTATATATAAAATAATTTAGTAATTTCAAGTCTAAAAATCACATATACAACTATCACGTGAGCCTTTTCATAACTATAAATGATTCTCCATATCAAATTTTCACGTGGTTCAGTTTGGTGTACATATCTTATAACAAGTATCTATATATTAGTTATAAATTTCTTTTATACCACAATTTAAGAGAATATAATTATTTTATTTTATAGAAAAAAATAACACAATATATACTAGTCTTTTCAGCTCTAATAAATATTTAATATTTAAAAGAGTATCGACGATAAATATTTTAAAAACAATATTTTAATACAATAAAAATCTAATAATAATAACAACTTTATAATTTTTTTTAC